CCTCGCAGGCTCCTCAGCCTCCGCACCTTCCCTAGTGCCTCCCTGTCGGCCTCCTGGCCGCGCCGACACCCTCCGCAGCACAGAGCCGGGCGCGCCTGTTCCTAAAGCGGACATTGGGGCTGCTTTTTCGGGGGCGGGGGGGGATGCTGATCTCCCCGGGACAGGCACGCCTCCCGAGTTGTGAAGCCGTGTACCTAGCGCGGTCCCCGCCCGTGTTCCCCACAACCCCTTTACCAGGATCCTTCTATCCCTGCTTCTTCCTTGGCCTCCACCTCTTCTTTCCGGCAACCTTTCCCTAACCCGCTACCGAACTCTTGAACCGCCACCTCCCCGGCATTTATCAGATGCCTGCCCGCCCCGCCCCACCTAGGAGAGCGTTCACACGCCCGAGGACGATGTCGGGGCTCTGGCACCGGGTGTTTCTACGGCTGCTCCTCGGCCGCAGGGGGGTCACTGACTGCGGAACAAAGGCCCGCGCTCGCGCGAGGGGCCCCCGCTCGGAAGCCGCGTGCCCGGCCCCGGGGGTCCAGCCCGGGAGGACCCCAGCTCCCGGGGCATCGCACTCGGAGGAAGGGGCGGGCCTACGGTCGCCTTAAGGAGGGGTGGAGCTGGGCATATTCGCTGCGGGGGGTTTAAAAGAGAGTCGAGGTCGACTCTGTTCTATCGCTCACTTTAAACGGGTCTGGCTTAGTTCGGTTCTGCCCCGTAAGCACCTGCAGGGCGGGCTGCGTCCAGCCGCGGGGGGCGGTTAACACCAGCGCCGCAGGTCGAGGCTCGCACCATCCCGGCGTCGGGCTAAGGCCAGTTCCCTATCCTTCACCGAGAGGGAGGGGCGGCCCCAAGTTTTGCTCCCTACGTCACCGAAGGAGGCCGGAGCCATTTTGAACCCTGCGACCCTAGTTTTGCCCTTTTCCCCCGAGCTCTTCGCCGTCTCTTCCGATCTCGGCCAATTAGGAGCTCAGGAAACGGGCCAATCGGGCGAGAGATGCCACAACCCGAGGACTCGGAGGAGGCTGAGCCGAATCCTTTGAACCCGAACCCAGCCAATTGTAGAGCAGTCACCATGACGACGAGATAGAGGTGCAGGGTGGGCCCAGAGAAAGCTCAGCGCTCACGGGATTGGTCCACCCCTTCCCGCCGCCTGCTGAGCACGCGCACTGCCTGACCACCATTCTCTGTCGAGTCCAGCCAGTCAATTGCTTTGGAGTCATACGCTCCAAAGCCCAATAGGAATCCGGACCTTCTATGAAGGAGGAAGTAAAGGAAAGCAAGGGCAGTCCCGAACCAATTGCTTCTGGCCTTGGGATATGACTGGCAGCTGCCCAGACGAATAAAGCTTCCCTGGCCCGGCGACGGGCGAATGGCAGAGCACGCCCGCGACGGCGACGGCGACTGCGAGAGCCAATAGTCATAGTGCAAGGGCAGGGCCGCGCAAACCTCTTCCTCCCCCGCCTCTGGACCAATCCTTTATGGTGCATCCTGTGTGATTGGCAGGCGCTCAGACCAATCGTGATTAAAAAACCTTGAAGCCTCCCCAACGATCGTGAGCGGGAGGCGGTTTCTTGTTTGTTGGGGCTTGTATTTGTGTGTTTGCGGGGACTTCGGGGTGCGTGGGGGCGACACCGAACGGGCCATGGCAGCAGCGGAGGAGGAGCATGGGGGCCCCGAAGGGCCAAACTGCGAGCGGGGCGGGGCGGGCGCGACCTTCGAATGTAACATCTGTCTGGAGACGGCTCGGGAGGCTGTGATCAGTATGTGTGGCCACCTGTACTGGTGAGAGCCGGGAAGCGGGCGAGAGGAGTGGGGCTCACCTCCGTATGCGGGAGGCTGGGGGCGGGGGGTCACGCATCATACGGGTAATCGGAGGGCACAGCCCCATGGGTGAGCCCGGTCTTTCCGGGTGTGTGAGGGTGGGAGGGTCACGTCTGTACGACCAGACCTGGGACAAGCGGAGGCACAGGAGTTGGGAGCTGGAGCGATAGTGTTTCGGAGAAACGGGGGGAGGGTGGACGGCGCCCATCTGTATAGGGGCGACCCGAGCCACCTTACCCCAGGTGAGAGAGGGGTCCTAGCCACGCAGGCGGGGACGCATTAGACCCAGCGGACAGGGAGGCATTAGCTGAGAGGGGGAGAGCTGGGGAATGTGGGACCACATTCGGGGGAGCTCTGTCAGGGGCGGGGTGCCCGGGGGACAAGGGCACCTGGAGGGACGGCCGTAAGAGGTGGAAGGATTGTGGCAGTCGGGGCTTGATGTGCCTGGAGGAGAGGGAAAGGAGTGGGGGCGGGTGGTGCTAGTTAGGAGGGTAGGTTTGGGAGTGATGGATGTGGGCAGGGATGGGGCTGGGACTGAAGGAGGAGACCTGGGAAGGGGTGGTTGGAAATAATTGAAAGTTAAGTCAAAAGGAGACGGGAGGGATGAGCGTGTGTGTGTGTGTGTGTGTGTGTGTGTGTGTGTGTGTTGGGGGGGAGGGTTAAGCGTTTTGAGGGTGGATGGAACTTTGTGTTGGGAGATTAGAAAAGCAGGAGGGCCAGGTTGGCTGGCATGGTGGAGGCGGCAGACAATATGAAAAGACACAGCTGGTGGTACCTGGGAATTGGGCGTTAGGGGGACCCTGAGGCGGGTCTGTGTCTCCCTTTCCTGTAGCTAGTTTGACCTTTTTTTTCCCCCCATCCAGTTGGCCCTGTCTTCATCAGGTGCGTACTCGGAAGAGATGAAGAGGGAGTTGGGGAGGTCTGAGGAGCTGGAGGACCTGCTGTATACTGGCAACCACTTCATTTTTCCCCCCAGTGGCTGGAGACACGGCCAGAGCGGCAAGAGTGCCCAGTGTGTAAAGCTGGCATCAGCAGAGAAAAGGTTGTGCCCCTTTATGGGCGAGGGAGCCAGAAGCCCCAGGACCCCAGGTGAGAGAGAGGAGGTGCTGAGGGAAGGGGGAGCCTTCCTCCCTGGGAGGGGGTGTGGAAGTGGAGACATTTCCTGGTGATGGCCCTCTCTTCTTCCTCAGATTGAAAACTCCACCCCGCCCGCAGGGCCAGCGACCAGCTCCCGAGAGCAGAGGGGTGAGTGTGGTCTGATGGTGTCCGTCCTTGCTAAGGCCTCGCGCAGCCCACCCTGACGTTCTCTGCCTCCGTAGGGCTTCCAGCCATTCGGCGAGACCGGGGCCTTTCACTTCTCATTCGGTGTGGGTGCTTTTCCCTTTGGATTTTTCACCACCGTCTTCAATGCCCACGAGCCATTCCGCCGGGGTGCAGGTAAGAGCCATCCCTCAGCCCCTGCCAGGGAGCCCCCCCCCCCGCCCCCGAATCCCCTCAAGCCCCTCCTGGCCCCAGAGTAGATGCTTCTGCCACAGCTTTCCTTTCTCCTCCAGGTGTGGATCTGGGACAGGGTCACCCGGCTTCCAGCTGGCAGGACTCCCTCTTCCTGTTTCTCGCCATTTTCTTCTTTTTCTGGCTGCTCAGTATTTGAGCCATGTCTCCTTTCTGCCCACCTCCAGCCAGAGGAGAATCAGTATTGGGGGTCCCTGCTGACCCTTCCTCACTCCTGGGCCCTCCCCCCAGCCCCTCCACTTCTGCTGGCCACTCTCCGGGCGGGTGTGGGTGGCGTGCGTCTGCGCAGAGGGCCACAGGACAGAGAAGCATCCTCTGACGGCGCACGCACTCGCACTCACTCCGCGGCAGCGCCTCCCAGCGCTGGGAGAGGAGGGGGCTGAAGAGAAGGTCTGTTTCTCTTTCCTCATCCTGTGCGTTCCCCCCATTTCTTGATTTGATTTTGAAAGGTGGGCAAGGCTCCCTCTGACTCTCCCTGACTTCTCCCTTGATTTAATTTAATTTTCTCTCCCCAGTACCTACTGTGGGTTCTGACTAAATGCTCCCTTCTCCTCACTGACTCCTTTATCACAAACTCAATAAACCAGTTGAGATGTATTGATGGGAACTCTGCCCACCTTTGGCCTTCCTCCCCTTCCTCCCCTTCCGGAACATCCCCCACTTTGAGTGGGTGTTGGTGTGGTGTGGGGACGTCCTCAGGGCTGTAGGGAGTGAGGGTGTCACACACATACACACACACACACAAGAGCAAAGGGAGAAGGTTATGTCAGGTGTTTACTCATCGCTATTTGTGGGAGGCTCTGGTTGTGAAAGGGAGTTAGGTGAGGTGAGCAGAGGTTATACAAGGGAGAAATGGTCTGGGGCCAAAACAGGGTAGGGAAAAGAAAAGGGAGCCGAGGGATGGGGTGGCCAGGGGCCCCTCAAGGCCCTCCTGCACTGCTCTCGGCTGCATCCGGCTCCTGGGACTGATGGAGCTCTGCCCGCTCCTCCTCCTCCTCCTGGTTTTCTGGGGCCTTCCTGGGGAGGAGGCGTGGGGAGCGCTCTGCATGTGGCCCTGCACTTCCCCCACCCCTCTCCTGGTGCCTGGAAGCCCAAGACCAGGTGTCCAGCTTCCTCCACTCACCTCTCCTCTCCTCGGCGGCGGCGCCTTTGCCACACGATGGCCCCAATGAGCAGGGCGGCTGCCCCCAGGCCTCCCAGGATCCCCAGGGCCAGGGCTATAGTTCCCAGCCCAGGCCCTCCCACGGAGCCTGTAGGGAAAGGGGTGGTTGAGGGCCCAGCCCCACCCTCCTTTCTTGTTGATGGTCCCCCCACTCACATTGGGGTGTGTCTGCTCCTTTGACCTGCTCCGGCCCCTCACCTGCAGTTGGCCCCTCCTCGCCTGTTTCTGGAAACAAAGTCAGAGCAAGTCAGAAAGGAAGGCGTCAGGCTGGGAGGGCTCCGGGAGTGTTTCCTTTTTTTAGCTCAGAGTCGGGAGGGGACAGGCTGGGCTGCTCTCTTGGTAGGGTTTGGGGGCGTAGCCGAGGCCTGGGTGTGGGTGCACTGAGGGTGGAGTGTGGTGGCTCTTGGGGACAGTGCCAGAATGGGGTAGGTAACTGGAGCCTGCACAGGCCCCTGGGGTGTGGGTGGGGAGAGGTCTCACCGATGATGCTGATGCTGACAGCGCGGCTCTCCTGGGGCCCATGGCTGGGGTGGGTGGCCACACAGCTGTAGGTTCCTTGATCCTGAGGCCCTACCTCAGGGAGGAGCAGCACTGGGCTGGGGGGAAGGGGCAGGGGGGTGCCCTGGATGGGGGAGGGGGACAGGAGGCTATTACAACCCAAGTCCATACATCTCCTAGCCTATTGGTCCACATCCTCAGATACCCTGTCTTCTTCCCCAGCTCCTTGCCGGCCTCTGCATGCGCTCCCTGCCCTCCCGGTTGCCAGTTACGTCTCTGCCTCCCAGCCCCTCCCCAGGTCACTCACGTCCTTGACCCAGTGGATTTGAGGAGGGGGCTGGGAGGAGGCTTCACAGGTCAGGGTCACCGTACCACCAGGAGCCACTGCTCCGCCTTCCGGCTCCACCACCAGTCGGACCTCTGGAGGCACAGGCTCCGGGGCTGGGGAGGCACGAGGCTGAGAGTTACTCCGCTGTGCAGCCCGGTGGCCATACTGTCAGAAGGTACTCACCCACCTCTGGGCTCGCCCTGGACGCTGAGCTGGATGGGTGCTGTGTGCAGGGCTCTGCGCCGGGGACGGCCGGGGCTGAAGCTACAGGAGAAGGCGGGGTGGGGCGCTCCCCCCTGCGCTGGGGTCACCGTCAGCTCTGACTGGAGTGTGAAAAGCCCTGTCTCAGGGTGTCTCCTGGTCTCTTCCTTCACAGACACGCCTAAGGTGGAGGAAGAGGCAGGTGTCCCAGGGCGTGTGGGGGAGGGATCAGGAAAAGGCAGCTGGGAGGGGAAGCTTGGGACTCACCTTTGCCATCAGGTATCAGGGGCTTCCCGTCTAAGTGCCAGCTAAGAGTCCCTGCAGGGTAGCCCCCCTCAGACACACATGTCCCCACCTGGGGAAAGAGTGACCTCATCAGCTTTGAAAGTAAGAGACGCCACGCACACGTCCCCGGCTACCCGTCCCGTCCCGTCCTCAGGACCACTCTGCTCCCCTTTCTTCCGCTACCTTATTGGGGACACCAGCCTTGAGTTCCGAGGCGGGATCGACAATTTCTGGCTTCCCAGGGATCTCTGAGGAGGGAAAACTCAATCAAAAGCTGGGGCTTTGAAGACTCTCCCACCACCAGGGCCAGCCAAGGAGTCGAGGGCTGGGGGTGAAGGCTCTTCCTTAAACGAGGGGTGGGCCTTGGGGAAGGCCCTGGAGCCCTTACGGTAGACTCGGACTTGGTAGTTGGACTTGATCTCCTTTCCTTTCCGGCTCATGGCCCGGCAGCGGAAAGTCCCCTCATCCGGGATCCCCACAGCCGGCAGGAGGAGGGAGCCATTGGGGAGGACTCGAGCCACGCTATCCCAGGGGCTCCCCTGGGGAGACAGGACCTTCCAGGCTTCTGTCCTGCCTGTGTGCTGGGGACAGAGGAGAGGCCCGAGTCACGCACGCCCTTTGGGAAAGGATCCTGAGGCTGGAGCTGGGGAGGCTGTGCCCGGAGCCCCACTTACCAGTTTCCATTCCAGCTGCTGGGGTGGTTTCCTGGGAGCACCCTTACAGTTGAGCACCAGCGGCTTCCCGATCGGGGCTGTGACGTTCTGACAGCCTGCCACTGTCCCTGGGAGAGGGCAGCAAGGTGGAGGGGCTGGAGGGAGGCGGGCTGGTGAGACTGGCACAGGGTGGGCAAGGGAACTGGAGGAGCGTGAGGGTCCAGGGAAGACCTGGGAGGGGCCGAGTGCCTTCCACAGGTGGGGGCAGTGGCTCACCCCACAGACCGAGGACCAGCACCCAGGCTCCAGCCGTGGCCCCTGCCGCCATCCTGCCTCCTGTCCAGGCTCCTGGCTGTCTGCCTCTCGCTGCTGTGGCCACTGCCCTAGGTGGGGCTTGTACCCTCTCCCCTGCCCCCATCTCCCGGTCCTGTCCTGGCACAGGGAATGCTAGGAATTCATGACTCTCGGATAAGAGTCCTTCAGATACTAGAAACAGTGATCACCCCACCCCTGGCACTGCCACACTTGTGGGGGTGGGGAGTGCATCTTCTAGGGCCTCTCAGGCCCTCGGACCCCCAACCTGACCATCAGTCTGCCGAGGGCTACCTGGTGGGCCACCGGAGCCCATCTTCGGACACAAGGTTGCCAGGCCAAAGGGTTCAGGCCAGGCTGTCTCCCATGGCAGAGGCCCGGCTGAAACATGGGGCCTGGGCGGTGAGGGCAAGGCTGGTAGACTCAGGGAAAATCCTTTTGGGCTTTTATGAAGAGAAAAGTATTTTCTTCCTGGGGTTTTTGATTTTGAAAATAATTCTCAACTAAACCCAGGGGAAAAATTTCTTTATTTAAAACTGCTTTTTTTTTTCCTGTGAAACTATAAGTTTACAAGTGAGGAGAGAACTGCCCAAACCCGTGCCGGCGCCTCCCGCCCCCGCCCAGCAGTCCCAACCTGCCCACAGTCCTGCTGGGTCTCTGACGGGAGGGCTTCCACGGTGACAGTCTGTGAAATCCTGGCGATGTTGGAGGGGTTCAGGGCCACGGATGGGGCAGCAGTGACTTGACTTCCCTCTGTACCTGGCTTTTTGCAGCCTCTGTCCTCTCCCTACCCTCATGATTTTGGACTGAGAACAAAGATACCTCATTTCTGGGGAAACTGAGGGAGATACATACACACAAGCACCCCAACCCATTCTTATTTCACAATAACCCTTCCCCCTTCTCCCCTCCAACCTGCAGAGTTAAAAAAAAAAAAGACATGTCACAGGGGAAGGTGGCACTGCCTCCAAGTGACTGTGCCCAGCCCTGCCCAAGGGGTGAGAGAGGAGGGAGAACAGGCCACCAAGCAAGCGCCCAGCTGCCTCCCCACCTTGGGCAGCAGGAGCTGCCTCCGCAGCAGAGAACTCGCGGGGTTTTAAAGCAGAGGAGGGGACCTAAGTGATCTGGGGGGCGGGCCTGGCGCCCTGCTAATGTACTTCTGTGGACAGGAGCCAGCCGGGCCTCTGCACCGGTTCTGCTGGCACCCCTTTCACTATCACCCCTAATATGGGAAAGCCAGTAATTAAGATAAAAAGAAATCAACATATAAAAACATCTACTTCCCCAAACTCAATTAAAAATGAAGAACCAACAACAAAACACCCCCAAAATACAGATGGATCCCAGGGATTTTTTCTTCCCTAAAAAAGAAGGTTCAAACCCCAAACCCAGTTAACAATTCCCAATTCCCTAAAGTAGCAGAAACTCCCTCCGAGGTAGATATCTGAGTCAGACACTCTCGTTCACCGAGCAATTCTATTGGTTTAAGATGAGCTGCATATGAGGTAATAAAGCCGTCTGGAGGGGGAGGGGTGGAGGCCTGGGGCGTGGCCAGGTCATCTGTCCAGAAGTTGTGTCCCCATTTTTGGCATCTCTGGTAGGTAGGGCAAGGCTGGCGTCTCCACAGATCCCAGAGCAGATAAGGGGTGGGGGAGGGAGAATGGGTGAACCCAGAGAGAGAGAGAGAGAAACAGAATAGTCATATATGTGTCCATGAGAGAGAGAAACAGAATAGTCGTGTACGTATCTATGAGAGAGAGAGAGAGAGAGAGAGAGAGGTTCTGAAAGATAGGATTCTGGGTGTTTCTGTATAAGAAATGGGGAGAGAAGAGGCTTGAAAAGAAGGGAAAAAAGGGGAGACAGACCCCACCTTCCCTTTAGGGGACCCCCTTCTCCTTGCCATGTAGTCAGCAACCCCAGCACTGAGTCGGCTGGGGTAGGGCGACCCCATTTGCCCTTCTCCATCTTGTGCTTCTCCTGTGTCTGGGGCTTGTCCTCTGGATGCCTTTGTCCTCTCGTCAAGAGTCACCTCTGAGCCCCCACCCTGTGGCCTGAGGGGTGAGATCAGTTGGAAGTGTCGGAATGAACGCTCCCTGGCCCCTCTGTTGGGGACGTCACTGAGGACGGGGTCACAGCCTCCTGCCAGCCGCCGTTCGCCTGGAAAGAAGACAGTTGGGGTGAGGCTCTGAACCTAGTGGGGGCAGCGCTGCCGGGAAGGCACTGGTGCTGGGGAGGTGGGGGGGCTGCAGGGGTCCGCTCACCCTCATTTCCCGGGGGCTGTACATCTGGCCTCCCCCGAGGCTATCTCCGTAGCCCCCGGGGCCCATCGAGTGTCGGAGTGACTCCACCTACGGTCAGAGGCAGGCATGACAGACAGTGAGACGCCTCAGAAGGCACCACTGGCGGGCTGAAGGGGGGAGCCGAGTGTGGGGAACCTGCTCGGAGAGGGGCATCTGACCTGGGAGGCAGGGTACGAGTCTCCGTTGAGCCCGGGCATCCCCAGAAACATGTCTCCGGATCCTGAGAGGTTGAAAGAGCCGCCAGAGCCTTGGGGGAGCAGAGAAGGAATTAGGGACGAAAAGTCTGTGTGGCAGACAGACACACCACCGTTTCCCAAAAGCCCTCGGAACTAGCCCTGTGGGGGGTGCCGCTGTGCGCACACTCCACTCGGCAACAGCAGCATCAAGGGCCAGCTCCCAGCCTCCCGGCCACTGGCTGGAAGAGAGGCAAGACGTAACTCGGCTGGAGTGGCCTGTGTCCCTGACATCCCCACCCCATCTCAGCTTGGTCTCTGTTACCCCCAGAAGCCCCCCCCTATGATCCTGCCTAGATAGGAAGTGGGAACAAAAGCAGGAAGTGTGCAAAGCAGCCAGCCAGGCTGGCCGAGGGCTCCACCTGCGGAGGAAGGGGGTGTCGGGGAGCTGGTGCGGCTGTGGCCCCCCTGGGTGACAGACACGGCGGTCTTGACAGCATAGATGTTTGCCTCCTCTTGAAACTTCCCGATGTTTTTCTTATAGCGAATCCGCTTGTTGCCAAACCAGTTGGAGACCTGGGGGGTGTTGGGCAGAAAGGAGGGTCAGCTGGAGACCTTTCCCTCCGTATGACCCTCAGTCCACAGGGCCGGCGCTTCCTGCTGAAACTCCTCCGGTACCTGAGAGACGGTGATGCCACACTTCTTGGCGAGCTCCTCCTTAGCCTCCTCACTGGGATACGGGTTACTCAGGTGGGAATAGAAATACTCATTTAGGACCTCGGTGGCCTGTTTGCTGAAGTTGCGGCGTTTCCGTCTACAGAGGAGGGAGAAGGGCGGTGAGGACTGCCGGGCCAGCAGGGTCTCTATGCTGCTGGCTCCCGGGGCTTGGGGGACGGGAAGGAGCCCGGGGGCGGGCAGCCTGGGCCTCACCTGGCGTCCAGGAACCGGGAGCGCAGGATCATGACGGCCTCGCAGGTGCTCTGCTTGAGCTGCATCTGGATGGCGCTGAACTTCCGGTGGATGATGCTCACCATGCGCTCCATCTCCTTGGGTGCCACGGGCCGCGTGCGGCTCTGCTCCCTCAGCAGGTTCATGACGTGGGTCGTGAACTCGTTGCATGCCTGCGGGGGGGCCGGTGGGCTGTGAGGAGCCCTTTGGCCTTGGGGTCCCCCCTGAGGAAGCCCCACCACCCACTCCAGCCTCCTCGCCTCACCTGCTCATACTTCTCCAGCTCTGAGTGGTAGATGTGGCGGATCTGGGCGAGCTTGCTGCGATAGTCCGAGTGTTCGATGGAGTTGTCAGGGGACACGCCGCCCCCGGAAGCTGCTGCGGCTGCAGCTGCTGCCGCCGAGCCCCCCCCTTTCTCAGGCCCAGCCACACCTTCTGCCAGAAGCATGTTGTCCAAGCGCATAAGCTGGGGGTCCACGGGCTCCTCCTCCTGGGAGCTTCGGATGCTGAGGCCTAGCGCGGGCGAGTGGACTTAGGGACCCGGGGACCCCCACACCCAGTCCTCTGCCCTCCTGAGACCCGAGTTTCTTTGGTTCCCTCCCCAGTACCCCCTGGACACCTCTCTGACCCCCACTCTCCGCAGGGCTCCACGCTGTCTAACTCTTGGCCTGAGCGTCTGGGGAACGGTTCCCCGCGTACCGGTCTTCTCCTTGATCTCACACAGGACGCTAAAGAGCGCTGGCTTCATCCGGTGGCAGTTCAGGGCGTGTTTCCTTGGGGGAACAAGAGAGAAAAGTTTAGCTACAGGAACGTAAAGGGGGACCATGAGGTGAGAGGGAGCCTGGGAACAAGGAGGCGGGTGGAAAGGGGTGGGGTTCATGGGGCGAGATTAGCTCTCACAATGGGGACGTGGGGAAGCTGCTTGGCACCCGCCACCCAGGGAAGGTGGGGGCAGCAGGCTGAAGGCCCCGTGGGCAGCTGGGGGCTGTGGGAGACGGTCTAGAAGGGTGCAGAGGGGGAGTTTGGGGGTGACTGCAGATATGAAGGTGACTAGGTCGATTTCAGAAAAAGAGATGGAGACTGGGGAGAAGAGTCAGAGTTTGAGGTGCCAGAGAGGGGTTAGGGGTGCCGAGCTAAAGTGGAGGGATCGGCAGAGATGTGTGTGGAGGGTCCTGGGCTGAGCAGGGGTGGAGGGGGGTGAGGACACAGGGAGGCTGGGCCCTGGCCCAGAGGAGAGGCAGGAACTCTGGGGAGGGGTGTGGAGGCCCCCAGGTCTGCAGGGGAGGGGGGGCTGAGTGGAGCGTCAGGGGAGGAGCCAGAGGGGGCTCTGGAGAGGGAAGGGTGGGTCAGGGGGCTGGGGGGCCAGTGAGAGGTTAGGAGAGGGGGTGAGGCCACCTGGGGTTCCCCTCCTTAAGGTTTCAGGGCCTGGGGGTGAAGAAAGGTGTGAGAGGAGTCACTTATCTGGGGGTTCCGGGAGCAAGGAGGAGAGAGCTGTGGGATCCTGGAGTTGGGGGGTTCGGAGACCGAGCTGTGAATGGGCTTCTGCCCGTCTGTGGGGTGGGGGTGGGGGCGGAGGCACTCACTTGGCCTGGGCCTCGTCCAGGCTCTGGTCCGTGATGGTCATTATCTGCTGCAGAATGTCCCCGATGTCCTGCTTCCCGCGGCCTCCCGGGACCCCCCCGCCACCCCCTCCGGGGTCTCCGCCACCGGGAGGCTCGCCAGGGCCCCCAGGCTCCGCACCCACCAGCCCCAGGCCCCCCCGGCCCCCGCCTGGAGGGGGCGGCCCCAGCAGCCGCTCGTCCATAGTGGGGGGGGCCCAGAGGCCCCCTCCCCGTCCCGCCCCTCCCCCGCCGGGTTACTTCCCCCCAAACTCGCCGGGGCCGCTGCTCCCTCCGCCCCGACCCCCGCCCGTCTCCCCGTCTCCTGGCTCCCCCGGGGGTTCACCCCGGCTCTGAAGGGAGACCTGGGGTACCGGCTGGGCCCCCCACAGGAGACCCCGGCCCCCGGCGGCGGAGAAAATGGAGCCGGAGAGAGAGGAGGCCCAGGCGGGGGTGTGTGTGAGTAAGAGGAGAGGAGGGAGGAGGGCGAGGGAGCGGGGGGAGGGGAG